AAACAGATGAATTGTTTCCATCTATCTCTTTCGTTAGGACCTAAAGTTTCATAAACCCTTCTGCACTTTCAAAAGCCTAACAGAAGCTAATTGTAAGGCCAATAAAGCTGTGTATAATATAAGCAATGACCAAACAGAATGTATGAGTTAGACTTACATGCTTTGCATAAAACTATTTTTTCTCCACACAATCAGTACCTACATTATTGAATGCTGGGGAACAACGCAGATATAACCACCACCTGTAGCTGGGAAATCAGAGCTATCCAGAGGAGCATATGCTTGCTCCTCCTTTTCTTAGAAATGTCTTCTCTGTTCCTACCATAACTGTTAATTCAAATCCTGGATAACAGAAACTTTTATTATTTATATCACCTTTACCACAAATAGAATGGATGGAATGCTGTGCTGCAATTTCTTGTAACATGATGCTGATGACATCATTAGTCATGGACTTTTATCACTAACTAAAACTTCCCTACCCATGAATTCCCAGCTTCTGAGGCTTCCAAAGAAACCTTTTTAACCTGTGGAAGGTTTTGGGGGCCTTGGGATGGGAATGGGCTTCTAATGTCCCAAAATTATATCATGTAACAGGATTCTGGCCCATGAGTTGGATCCATGTCTTGTCAAACTCAAAACAGACATTTTGAAACAGCCGGTACTTTATAAATTTAGTTCTATATGTTTAAAAAACCTATTGTAATTACAACTGAGCCTGGATTTGACCCAGTGACCTATGCAACGTCTTACAGCAGATGTATAGCTGTTGTACAAAGACTCTTGCAGAGTGCGGGTGGCATGCAAGTCGGATAAATAAACTGCTTCCAGAATATAAGAAATAAAGAAAGCAAGGAAAATGAAATGTAGAGTACATGAAATCTAGTGTGTTGTCACAGAAGCAGGATAAAACTACAGAAGCTGTTGTCATCATAAAATTGACTGCATTATAAGAAAAAGTGAAAATAAGTTATTAAATTGGCCAGCTTACATTGCTATATAAAATGATGAGGTTCACTAAGATGCAAGTTACTAGTGATCTCTAAGTTACAGGATATGCATCTTTAGAGAATCAATTACAACCCTCTATCCATAGTTAGGCAATACAGATGGGCACAAACTGCCAGTTCAGTGGATGTTCAAACAGGTGTTCTGCAGTTAAGGGCCTACTCCTTCCAGCAGGTGCCCACTCAGAGGCATCACCTGGAAGAGGCGGGACAGGGAAGTCAGGGTGCTGCTTCAAAGCAGGCACTTGATGAGGGGGCAAGGCACCAAACTGCAGAACACCTGTTTGACTGTCCACCAAATTGGTATGAACTGCCAAACTGGTGGTTTGCACCCATCTCCATTAGGCAGCTATGCATTACCACCATCTCACAGGTGTACACCTTAATTACTTAGGTCCACTTTATGCATAAAAATGTGAAAGCCCATGCTTTAAGAATCCAAAATGGCTCTGGTGGACTTGTGGTTGTCCAAATGCTATTGGACGACATCTTCCATTATCTGACTGTTACCTGGGGATATGGAAAATCTAGAAGCCATAGGTTCTATATCTTTCTAAAAAAATATTCTTAAAGAAGCAGGTTTCTAAGTGCCCAAATTTAGAAGGCGATCAACTTAAGAAAATAAAAAGAGCGCTGGTGTAGCAGTCCAAAGGTTCATCTAAGCCAGTGCTCCTTAAATTTGGGGAACCATCTATTCTTGGACAACAAATCCCAGAAGCCCTTATTAGTACAGCCAACAGTCAGGGCTAGACATGGGATAGTTGTATTTGTATCCCTGGGGATACAAATATAAACACTGGCACCACAGGTGCCTGGGAAAACCGGACCCTCACCCCCCCAACCGACAGGTCCACTTACTACTTGCTGTGCGGCATGCACAGACAGCATCGTTTTCATGGCACCTATCTGGGAAGCAGCCCGGCCAGCTCTTCCCTGCCTCCCTGTGCAGCTGACCACTCCGGCTAGGAGATGGCATGATGAGTTGCCCCACTCAGCTGTTGAGCAGTCAACTGTGTGCGGATGCCAGGAAATGCCAGCAGGGCTACTTTCCAGATTAATGCAACAAGAACGATACTGGCTGTGTGCTGTGTGGTGAGCAGCAAGTGGACCTGTTGGTTTGGTGGGGGGGAAGGGTCTGTTTTTTCCAGGCTACTTTCCAGATTAATGCAACAAGAACAATACTGGCTGTGTGCTGAGCAGCAAGTGGACCTGATGGTTTGGTGGGGGGGAAGGGTCTGGTTTTTCCTGGCAGCTATGGTACCTATATTCATATCCCCAGGGATACAAATATGAATATTCCATTTCTAGTCAGGGCTGTTGGGAGTGGCAGTCCAGGAATATCCGGGGTCCCAAGTTTCAGAACCACTGACCTTGACCAACAACTTGTTAACAGCAGCAGCTAGATAAATGTTTCTGCAGAGTTCACACCTTCCCTTGTCACTTGTCCCCACCTCACAGTACTAGAAATATGCAGATTCTAAATACAGAACATTTATTTACTCATTATGCCTAAGTATTAGCTCTGTTGATATATCAATTGAACACAAATTTATCACATTTTTAAAAACCTATCACAACCAATGTATGAATTATGGAGGATGGAAATCATGCATGTGCTTTTGTTTGGCAATGTCTTTATAGGAAGAAAAAAATCTGTGCACCTGGCCTAACAACTAACAGAATAAAATACCACTGACAGGACGTTACTTCTCTACTCAGATATTTATATCTTCCTTTCTTATATTCTACTAAAAAGCAAAGCATGCTGCTTATATACCGCCCCATAATGCTTCAAGCACTCTTGGGAGGTTTACAAGTTAATTATGCAGGCTACTCATTTCCCCCAGCCCAAGCCTTGGAAGTTTTCTACTTGTGAAACAATAGGGGACCAATCCTTCATGAAAAATATACTTCATGAAAAGTATACTGAAGTGAAGAGAGAAGATGGTTGTGTGTGAACAAACATATAGAAATAAAAGCTGCATGTACTACCCTGGGAAGGTGAAAAATTAATAAATTCATTAAGATTACTGTTTTATTTAGTAGCATTTTGGTAGTTTTATTTCTTCTGCCCAATACAATTACTTACGGTATTTAAATAACGACTTGGATACCACTCCTTAATTTTCCCACTTTTATCTCAAAATATTACATACTACGTTTCTGGGCATGTGTATTTGACATTCAGATAAAAATACATGAAAAAATAATTTATGCATGTCTGCAATTGTGAAGATGGGTGGGTGGGGTAGCCTCATATAGATACATATGTAACTCTCTAACTCATTTAGAAATATATGCCACTGACAAAACAGAAGCACATTTATACACTACAGTTAAATGCTGCAGCTTCGTCCTTCAGCTATGAGGCTTCACACCAGGAACTAAGAACCAAAGAAAACCAGAAGAGGCAGAGATTTCTCAGAAAAGGATATTTAGTCGATAAAGAGACTTCAAAAAGCAGAGAAATTCTCTGAATATGTTAAGAATCTGATGGACGGTGTAACTCAATACAAAAGGATAGCCTCTCTGGAAAAGATACCTTCAAAGTTCACAGCTTCTTTGGAGGCAAATTTTAATCAGCTGAGAAAAAAAGGACAACTTGCCATTGACACTGAAGGTAGTAAAAATTCCAATCTAACTTTATCAGTTACACTTTATCAGGAGACCGTATTGTTTTTGCTAAAATAACCAAACGAAGTCAGGCAGAAAATGAAACGATGTTGGGATTTCTGCAACAATCCACTTCACTACCATCACTTAAATGTCAGCTGATGTAAACAGAAGCAGACCTCCTGAACTAAACCTTTGCTGGCAATATGTAGCAGAGGACTGAAGGGCTGCTGAATTGGAAAATAAAGTTCTAGAGTTGCAAGAAAAGAAAAGAAATTGAGATTATTTGATTGTAATACAGTTCCACTACCTTGCCCGCGTCCCAACCACATAAAACCAGCCGGGCCCCAGTTAGTCGTGCTTTAAGTCTCCTGGATCTCAAGGGGGCCAAGGTGTGACCAACTTCGCACAGGGCCAGGGCGTCCTCTTTGCCACACATCCACAAACGCGACTAGTGTCTATACACATAAATATACTATATATGTATATGTATACACACGCATACACACAGAAGCATAAAAATACAGAAAAAGGAGAGAGAGAGAGAGAGAGCCAAGGAAGCCAGAGGGGCTCGAAGAAGGGGGTGGCAAGCGGGGAGGGTGCCAGTGGCCCTCAGGGAAGCCCGAGGAGAGAAGCGAAAGGAGGCGAGGGAGAGAAGGAGGGACGCCGGGCTTCCCGCCCCCCCTGTCCTGCCCCACCGCCGTTCCCGGAGCCTCCTCACAGGGCTGCCATTACCCAGCCGCCACGGCTGCCCGTCGAGTCCCGCCCCTCGGCTTCCGAAGCAGCCCGGCGAGGGAGGAAAGGAGGGGGCGGGGGAAGAGGCCGGATGGGTGCCCTTCTTTCCCGACGTTTTTCCTCACGCTCTCCGGGGATTAAAGGCAGCCGCTTCCTGCCCCACCGCCGTTCCCGGAGCCTCCTCACAGGGCTGCCATTACCCAGCCGCCACGGCTGCCCGTCGAGTCCCGCCCCTCGGCTTCCGAAGCAGCCCGGCGAGGGAGGAAAGGAGGGGGCGGGGGAAGAGGCCGGATGGGTGCCCTTCTTTCCCGACGTTTTTCCTCACGCTCTCCGGGGATTAAAGGCAGCCGCTGCCCTCGGGTGGCCCGCCCGCTGGGCTCGCCATCCAGGCTTCGAGTCCCCAACGAGGAATAAAGAGGGAGACGTTCAGAGAGACATCCTTCGCCTCTCCCCTCGACCCCCCCGACGAGGAGAGTTAGTATCGCCCGAAGTACGGGCGCCGCGGAGGGCCGAAATAGCTCGCCTGCTTCGGCGAATGAAATAAATAAGGGCGCTTCTAGCGCAGTTAAAGGAGGGGAAGAGGGCGCATGCGCGGTAGATCAGAGCGAGGGAGCTGTCCTTACGGCACTTACGGCTCGCGCGTCCTTTTCTTTTCTGCTTCCCAGGAACCGGGCTAAAAATCTCAGAAGGGGGTTTCGCATTGACTTATTCGCGGACTCGAACATCATAGGGTAACAATGGATGGTGTCGAGGAGAGAACCTGTCTCGTGGTTTATCTTCCAGGCTATGCGAGGAGCGGTGCTGTGTTGCTTGTGTTTTCTAGGTTCCCCAAAGTGAGGATCTACTGGGTGGTTCTGTAGGGTTGAAGGCTAGGGGTTTGTGGCAGGGTGATAGCTAATACAGCAGATCTCGGAAGAAATGGGGGCGTTCTGTTTTTTCCCAGCGGAAACAATCACACAGAAAGCTTGTGAGTTTGGAAGATAAGCCAGAAGATTAACCCTACATGAACAATGATTTCTGTAACAGAAACTCATGACCTCTCCCGCCCATCTGGTCTGGTCGACCAGATACTGTATACATTTCTGTAATAGAAACTCATGACCTAGTTTCTGAGAGGAGTGTGGAAGCTCACAAATGGTGTGGAGCATTTCAGGCCCACCCTCTGAGGTCCCAGGATAGCCATCTGCCTTCACTAGAGATGGCTGCCTTCAGTACCACCTTTTAATAGAAAGGTGGATATAAGTATACGTAAAGGATTACAGTATTCAACAAAAACGTTGAAACTGAGTTTGTCATACTTTGGGTACATCATGAGAAGACAGAATTCTCTGGAAAAGACAATGCTGGGAAAGGTGGAAGGCAGAAGGGAAAGAGGAAGGATAATTACAAGATGAATTGACTCCCTAAAAGAAGTCACAGGCAGGAGTTTGCAAGAACTGAGCAAAGCTGTTGAGGAGAGGACATTTGGAGATTGCTCATCCATGGGATTGTTAGACGTTGGAGGAGACTTGACGGCATACAGTAGCAACTCTCCGTTCCTGTAACTGCAGCATTATTGAATGGTTTTCCTGCCTTTGGTATGCTTGAAATGAATTTTGCAAGATTTCATTCCTAGCGGTAATAGGTTTAAATTAAAATATACTGATGTTCTACCAGCTTTGGCTGGTGCAATGGTTGTGACTCTTGCTATGAAAGTGGATTTGTTGTACAATATGTAAAGCCTTAATTACCTTACACTTGGAGTCAGTACAGTGGGGTCTTGACTTGAGAACTTAATCCGTATTGGAAGGCGGTTCTCAAGTCAAAATGTTCTCAAGTCAAATCTGCATTTCCCATAGGAATGCATTGAAAACCATTTGATCCGTATCTGCTCTTTTCCGTCCATAGAAACTAATGGGAAGCTGCTATTCCGCCTTCGACCACTAGAGGGGGCTATTTTGTTTCTTTTTTTCTTAGGTCAAGAAAGGTTCAGGGAAGGCAGAGAAAATACAGTCCAGGCAGGACAGTAAGTACCAGGCAGTCTGAAGACTCCCAATCCACTCTCTAAATGCTGGGAGGAGTGAGGAAGCAGACAGGCACCCTTTTCACTGGCCAACAGTTAACTGAAAGTTCACTTTTTGCACTTTCCCTGCCTCCCACGTGGGTTTTTTCAGTTCTTAACTCAAATCTAAGTACTTAAGTCAAGTCAATATTTTCCTGTGAGAGCGGTTCTTAAGTCAAAATGTTCTTAACTCAAGTCGTTCTTAAGTCAAGACCCCACTGTAATTCCATTTATGTGGGGTTATCCCTGAAAAGTAGTTGCTGGTTAGTGCAAAATACAGCAGCTTAATTGTTGTCCACCATGCACGTTAGAGACCCCGTACAATGGCATCTTGCACCAATTGTAGTGATTTTTTTTCCTCAGTTCATTTTAAGGTACAAGTTTTGACCAAGAAACTAAATGGTGTGAGACCTGAATAAGGCTTGACACTTGGAGTGTGAAACTGCTCTAAAGGGAAGTCAGGTTAGTTACATCTTTGTTAAACTTCCAATGGATAGCCAAAGGTGTATTCTTCCATGTGGTCTCTGATCTTTAAACTGGCTTTAAAGTTTACTTTTGGAATCTGTAAAACAGATTTGCTCTCAAATAATGCTCTTTTTTACAAGTTTCCTTCAAAATTCATTTTTAAATAACATTTATTTATTTTTCCTTATTCCACTTATTTTTCCTTATTCTACTCTGTAACACTTTATAATATGCAATAAATAACAGAAATACATGGTTTTGGTCTGTTTTGTCTTCCCCTTAGTTTACCACCATGATGTGGCCTTTCAGAAAAGCTCTTGAAACTTATTTCAGCTGTTGGGCTGAAAGATACTGACCACCTTGGGTTTACAGCAGTGATTCTCAACTTTTTATATCGTATGTCCCATCAGGAATTTCACCCAAGACGACGGCAGAAACAAAAAGCCCAGTTCTTTGAAGATTTATATATGTATTACAGGTATTCTATTATATATATTGCTTACTGTTAGTGGGACATGAAGATTGCAGTAATACTTTTTGGAGTAGATACACAAATAATACAAAAATAATTTTAGTTGAAAATTGTAATGATACTGTTGGCTATACATGATTAACTGTGTAACACAATAACAGCACAGTTTTCAGGAAAACATGGGCATTGATGGAGAGTAAATTACAACTATTTCAGAAGTCTTACATCCTACTGGAGTATACATGTCACTAGTTGAAAATCACTGACTTGGAGGAAGTCTTAGAAAAGAAAATCCACGCCATATGTTAAAATGTTGGACTACAACTTGGGAGACCAGCTTCAGTTTTCCACAGCTGGCACGGAGAGCCCTCTCTGTGGGCATGTGAGCCATAAGTTGCTACCCACAACTATTTCAGAAGTCTTACATCCTACTGGAGTATACATGTCACTAGTTGAAAATCACTGACTTGGAGGAAGTCTTAGAAAAGAAAATCCACGCCATATGTTAAAATGTTGGACTACAACTTGGGAGACCAGCTTCAGTTTTCCACAGCTGGCACGGAGAGCCCTCTCTGTGGGCATGTGAGCCATAAGTTGCTGGCCCCAACAGCCAGACCTGAGGAGGAGGCTGCAGCTAGTGCCCTGACAACAGCCAAACCTGAGGAGGCGGCTGCAGCTAGTGCCCTGACAGGCAGCGGGCCAGGATCCGGAACAGGTGACAGTGGCCGGCTGGCTGAGCTATAGATAGTGGCAGGGTTGGGCATGACTGGAGGCACCTCCATGTTGGGGATTCCCGCTTCCGCCACCACTTCTGCTACTGCCACTTCCATTGCTACTGCCACCTGCCACCCACTTTTTTTTTTTTTTTTGGAAGACTCGGCTCGGGCTCACAAAGGTTTGCCATCATTGCGCTAGGCCATAGTATTCACTGGATTACTCTGGGCCAGTCACACTCAGCTTAACCTACCTCACAGGGTTGCTGTAAGGCTAAATAAAGTATGGAGAAAGGAAAGCCAGTATGTGCAAAGCCTTAAGGATATGCTGTTGACCTATTTGGGAGAATAAGAAGCTTTTTGGCAGCCTGACCTACTCCCTGGCTACAAAGTGAACTCATCAGAATTGATTAAAATAGCCTACACAAACAGGAAGCATTAAAAACCAAGGAACTTTTGAGGTGCATAATCAGCCTAAGGTAGGTGCGGCTAAATGTAATCCAGCATTCAGGTTTTTTTTCCAACAGTAGCTGTCGTCAGTACAAGCAGAGCATAATGCATTCCAGGAGCGAATACCTACTGTGTGAAGATACAGTACTCTTCTATTTCCTAACTTACTACAGTATATCCTTTCCATGATAGGTTTATGACAGGCGTCTTGCTCAAGGCTGAATTAACATAAGTTCATAAGTGCCTGGTCTTCAGAAAAGCTGCAGATGCTAAATGATATTTTTCCCCAGGCTATATTCACTGGAGAGAGGACGTCAGTGAGGAAAACCCAGAATACTTGGGAACTCTCAAAAGGATAGTGTCATTGTTCAGCATGCTGTAACAGTCTATGTATCCTGAAGTTTTTGAAGTACAAGCTGTGGAATGTTTTGAAATTCAAGGTGCACAGTAAATATCTGTTTGGTATTGACTGTGAGTCAATTCCTCTATTAGTTCCATTGATTCATATGAGCCTACTCTAATTGCAACTTAAAACTTGAGTTAATTCAAGATGTCCCCAGTGATTCAGTCTACTCTACTCTAGGTCTACTCTAGTGCAATTTATTGTGATAAACAATAGGATTTTGGCCAAGGTTTTTTAACTGTTCTTAAGCTTGAGGAAGGTTATGGAACAGAACATTGTTCAAACTGCTGGGTTTTTTCCTTGGGTATTTTTGTATGGTGAGGAGATTGACTCTGGGTAAATATAGAAAGTTTTGATCTGTGCACCTTGTGAATATATATTATTGCATTGTTAATTGCCATCTATCATCTAGATATGAAACAGATAACAAAATGAATGTGTGTGTCCACCCAAGTTCTTTCCCCCCACCCCTGCTCCCAATCTCTGTGTAAAGTATATCAAGGAAACCACACATGGACTGAGCAAGCAAGCAACTTAATTAAGAAATAAACCAACAATTTGTCTGCTAGTTCAGATTCTTGACTAAAGCAGTAACTGACAGTTTTACACAAAACAGTGTTCTTGCCAGTGCTCAGTCAAAGTCCACAAGAAATTCATCACCATTGTTATTAGAAAAGGCCAACATATCTAGAAAGTACAAATGGGGAAGGAAAACAAACTACAGAAAACACTTTGAAGGAGGTAACAAATTATGCTACTGGGGCAATAGTTTCAACCAAACATAGTATATGTTAATTGTGAATTTCTTATGTAACAAATAGCATTGCAACAAATTATAGGTCCATCTACTGATCTTAATCTAGTTTTGGAGCTTGTAATAGATAAAGAACTAGTTAAACATAAATGTTACAAGCTCTGCCCTTCCTACATATTTATCTGTTTCTTGTATGTTAAAAAAAACTTCACCAGATCTTCTGAGACTGACATTTGTTATTATAATTAGAAAACATATTCATTTATGAATATTCATATACAGCAATTATATTCATATTTTCATATTCATATATAGCAATTATATGCCAGAGGTTTTCAGTGACTTAAGTAGACTGTTTATTCAACATGTTATCTTGAGTGACTGGATTAGAATGAAGGCTTATGTTAGTAACTCAGATCCAGCATAATGTTTCCCAATTTGTCTTCAGAATTATTATTTATATATTTTCCTCTACCCTTCTTTCTCCTTAAAAAGGACCCATAAGGACCCATAAGCAGTTTGCATAATTGAAAGATAATATTTAAAATGAAAAAAAATGAGTACACAGAGACGGTTTACATCAATAAAAGGCAATATTTAAAGCTAAGAACTGTAAGTACCAAATGCTAAAAAGGATCAAACAAATGGCACTCTAAGAAATGGTAAGGAAAAGCAATACCAAAACACATTCAAAGCAGTATGGTTATTTAAAAATCCCTGCCAAAATGTTACATTTAATACCTGACCTTGTCAGATCCCAAAAGGAAAGTGGAGTCAGAGCAGTTCAGAGCTTAGATAATCATCATCATCTTAGAACTGCAAAACTAGAAGGAACCCTATGGATTATTGAGTGCAGCCTGTCAGGAAAGCACAGTAGGGAGTGAGGTAAGAATTGTACCTGAATCCCTGGAGAGCTATTACCAGTGAAAAATTATCAATGGCCTGACTCAGTATAACAGCTTCCTGTGCTTGTATGTATTCCTTGCTGTATTTTTGGAAGGAAATCCCATTGGATTCAGTAGGATACGATCCACAGCACAATCCTGTGTCCTTTCTGAAATCCATCCCATTCTCAGCAAATTCACAACTACCAAAGCCATCCCTCATCACAAGGCTCTAAGGTAAAAACTGATTAACACAGGTGACTCCTCTAACGTCTTTCAGTCTCTTCCCCTTCATGAGGTTTAATTGCATCTTCAACCCAACTCCCTTCTCTGTTTCAGCCCCCTTCATTTCCGCTTGTTTTCTGTCTTCTTGAATGTTTACAACAGGACCCCCCCCCCAAAAAAACATAAAACCATAGGCCTAATTACTGCATGTAACCAACGAACATTTACGTAGAATGTGAAACTGATATTTCCTCTCAAGTTGTTTCTTTGGGTTTCGCCTGAGGTCTCGGGAAAGCGCGCGCAGGAGATGCTCCTTCAAAGCCAGCTCCTGCCCTCAGCGAGAGGGGCCCGCGGTCCTTTAATCCTCGAAGCGCGTCCCCTCGCGAGTTAAGGGGCACTTAACCCCCGAGGTTACACCGCTCGACCGTTACAGTACACGGAACGAAAGCCCACCTTCCCCACCCTCTGGACCCAACGGCGGGTGGGTCGGCCGCCAACCGGCCGAGAGAACGGCGTCTCCATTGGCTCTGCCTCCTCAGCCAATCGGCCCGCGGTCCTTTAATCCTCGAAGCGCGTCCCCTCGCGAGTTAAGGGGCACTTAACCCCCGAGGTTACACCGCTCGACCGTTACAGTACACGGAACGAAAGCCCACCTTCCCCACCCTCTGGACCCAACGGCGGGTGGGTCGGCCGCCAACCGGCCGAGAGAACGGCGTCTCCATTGGCTCTGCCTCCTCAGCCAATCGGGAGGCCCCGGCGGTTGGCGCGAGCGGCG